ATATTTTAAGCATTAATATTTCAGCATCACAGTTTCCCCATTGTCAAATGTAATTTTGAATTCCAGTCCATAATTTCACTAAAGCACACCTCATTTTCTATGGCATTGGAGTTCCTCAAAAGCCATATTAAAGCACCCCCAAATTAACAGTTCTGCTGTATCTTATCCAGCATGAGCTCCTCTCTTCAAGAACATTCTGTGATTTCACAATCAAATATGAAGCTCAACCTTGTCAAGTACCTTTTTTTCCATAGATCAAAAACAAATGAAGATCTGCAATTATTTATAGTTCTTCTTGGAACCACCTGTGACAGGTCTGGAATCTGGTATGTGGGCCTCATTTCTGTGGTCTTGTTAAGGTTGTGATTGACAGTTACCATGGTGATAATTTGGTAAACAACTTGGTTTCCCTAGCCAGCTACAAGTTCATGAGGATGGGGGGCATATCTACTCTTTTCTTTTCTTTTCTTTTCTTTTCTTTCTTTCTTTCTTTCTTTCTTTCTTTCTTTCTTTCTTTTCTTTCTTTCTTTCTTTCTTTTCTTTCTTTCCTTTTTTGGTCTTTTTGAGACAGGATGGGGGGCATATCTATTCTTTTCTTTTCTTTCTTTCTTTCTTTCTTTCTTGTGCTAGCTCGGGGGGGTGGAGGGGCATGAGAAGAAGGGAAAGAAATTTGGAAATTTTCTTTCTTTTTATTTTTTTCTGAGACAAAATCTCACTATATAGCTCCAGCTAGTCTGACACTCAATATGCAGACCAGGCTGGTCTTGAACTCACAGAGATCCGCCTGCCTCTGCCTCCGAGTGCTGAGTGCTGGGACTCAAGGCGTGTGCCACCACACCCAGCCACATCTACTTTTCTGAAGCACTAGCTCTAGGCATACCCAAGTTTCTGGTCAAATAATAAATGATAAAATGAGTCTAGGAATGTTGTTCTCAGATGTCACGAAGTAGGACTAGAAGTGGAGGGGCCCTCCTGGGAGGCAGGCACAAAGTAGGTGTCTGTGGCAAGAGCTTCCTAAGCAGTGAAGCTGGAGAGGAAGCTATACAACCATCACACATAATCAGATATAACCATCCTAAGTCCCAGCATGTGCTTAGAAATGTGCAGTTATGTACTGGCATACAGTTTCAAAACCATAACCTCAGGCATTTTGCGATGGTCATGCTGCATTTTCTCTGTAGTAGCTCTTTAAAATTTAAGGGATATAGAAAATTCTTCACTTAGAGAAAGAATTTGGTGAAATAAGGCCAATTGAACTATTTTAGAGATGCAAATGTCAACATTTGTGGCTCTTCTGAATAGTAACTAAGTGACATCAGAATAAAGAGCTACTCAGGCAACCTTCTACTGTTAAAGTTTATTCATCCAAAATATTTAAAGGGGGAGGGATTCCGCAGACATTAAAAACCTATAGTCTAAGGAAACACAATAAAGCCAGGAAAGTCTGTGAATCTACTCCTCAAAAAAATACACAAAGCCCAAAGTAATGGACATTTTTGACAGTGTAGAAGGCATACACAGTACACAACTGGCTTTTTCATGGAATCTTTGTTGTCATGAGGACGACATAGGTACACAGAAAGGCAGAGCAGGGTGATTTAAATTAACTGTGCTTACAAGAAACACAGGTCACTGTTTAAACATCCACCTGCTATAATAATCTTTGATTTAAAAAACATTCAGAGGTTTGCTTAACAAGTTTTTCCCCCTTTTTCTTTTGAGACTCTGCCCCCTACAGGACACATAGTTATTCCACTCTGAGACAAGAAACCAGTATTCCTTCCACGTTTGGTATTATGAACAGAGAGCAGGACTGTGTGCTCCACATCATAAAGCAATTGAATACAATACTTTGAGAGGCAATGAAACAGAGTTGGTTTTACTTTGAAATGTGCTGCATTATACATTATATATACATATCTATAAATTAGAGTTTTCCCCAGTACAAATTAGAAACCCACCGTACTCCACTGGAGCTCCAAATGAAAGCATGAAAGCTAAAGCTGAGCAGAGCAAATGAATGGTAGGCTTGCTACTCCTATCTCTGGCTTCCCTAACACTCCCCCAATATCAAAACCAGTCAAATTTAATGAGTGCCAAATTTAGACCGCAAGGGAGGCATCTTATCACATGGAACTGAATCCAGCTGCCAGAAAGTTCTATTCCTGCCCGTTATGTAATGCTTTTCCTCTTTTCTACTTAACTTCCTTCTCCCCGCCTCCTTTCCTCTCTTTGTCTTTTCTAGTTTTTATTTCTCCAATCGTTGGGTGGGAGTGGGCTTGCTCTCCTAACATTCCCTTTCCTCTGGGTGCTAACAACACTTCAAGGCAGTACAGAACATGGGCAATGCACACTCCATCAGGAAACAAACTTGGAGCAAGATGAATTAATGACAACTAAACAGCAGCCCTTGCAGAGCACTTGAGGCTTTCTTCACTCTCTTACCACAAATTTTCTTAATTCACATACTCCAGGGATTACCTTGAAGTCAAGGGTGAGCTATTCTCCCATCTTGCAATAAATAACAAGAGATTTAATGACTATCACCAATCTAACAATATGTTTCTGTGATGAAGTATGTTTTGATTCAAGGATGTCTACCCAGTAAGCAGTTCATAAGTTATTGCTGAATCCTTGAATTTTGAACCAGAATGTATACACCAATGAGACACTGAAATGTCACTAATTTCTGAACAGCCAAAACTAAGACAAGGTAAACAAAATTTGCAAAAACTAATGTCTTCTTATTTTAAAACACTTTCCAAAAGTAGGTGGTTGACTCAACAACACAAAGTCTGATCTGTCACACATGTATACATATACACACAACCCTATGACTTCTAAAGTGGCTTAATGTTTCCCATCTCTCCCAGTGTTTCTCTTTTTTGTTTATTTTTTTAAGATATGGTTTTACTCTGTATCCCAGGCTGGCCTGGAACTCACTCTACAGCCAACACTGGCCTCAAACTGGTAATCCTCCTGCTGCAGCTTCCCAAGGGCAGCGGCTGTAGCTGTTCACCATACCTTTCTGGCTCAGTGTTTCTCATCTTTCCAATCCCTCCTTTAAGTTTCTGCTGCACAGTCACTGAGGCCCTCAGAGCAAAGTGAGGATAAAGCACATAATCCTCCTTTAAGTGAATTACTTTCCAATAGAAAATGTGATCATCATAACCACACTGAATTCCAAATGTGGGTTATTATTAATTTTGCTCACTATCATTCAGCTTTTTTAATGCAGGAGTAAGAACAAACTATAAAAAAAATCTGCTCTTGGCTGATGGTGAGCTTCTTGTTCTTTTTTTTTTTTTTTTTTTTTTGGTCTTTTTGAGACAGGGTCTCCTGTAGCCCCAGCTGGCCTAGAGTCACTAGACCAGGCTGGCCTCGAACTCACAGAGATCTGCCTGCCTCTGCCTCCCGAGTGCTGGGATTAAAGGCATGCACCACCACGCCCGGCTCATTTTTATTTTAAAACACTTTAAATTTATCTTATTTTGACTTTATGTATATAAGTGCTTTCCCTGCATGTATGTAGATATACCCATGCCATGTACTGCCTGCAGAGGCCAGAAGAGGGCATTGGATTCCCTGGAATTAGAATCACATATGGTTGTTAGCTGCCATGTGGGTGCTGGGAACCAAACCTGGGTCCTCTGCAAGAACAGCCAGTGCTCTTAATTGCTGAGCCATCTCACAAGCCCCTCTTGTTTATTTTTAAACACTATGTTGAAGTCTATTAAAAAAACCTGAATTAAAAACTTTGCAATCAGGGGGCTGGGGGGGACAGCTCAGCAGTTAAGAGCATGTACTACTCTTACAGAGGACTAGAGATCAGTTTCCAGTAACCGTGTGGGGCAGCTCACAATGGCCTGTAACTGAAGCTCCAGAGGGATCCCCCCTTTGTTCTCTGAAGGCACCAGCAGCCATGTGTACATAACCCCCCCATACACACCAGATATACACGCATATACACATAACTCAAATAAAGTAAAATCTTTTAAAACAAAACTTCCCAAACAGGTTTCTAATTAATCTATCTTCATGGTAAAGTTATTATCACAAATTTTGGGATTTAGCAAAAGGAAGCAGTTTGATTTAGCCTACAGTAGATGAACAGATCTGGTAAGGAGGGTTTTTCCTTCTTCTTTCTGTTTTGGTTTGGGAGAAGGCAAGGAGAATGGGGAGGAGAGAAGATAAGTGGCAAGGGCTTAGGATTGAGAGTGCTGGGCTTACAGTCCGCTTTGTGTTTCATCCTTACATATCAGTTCCAGAAGCTCTGGGCTTCCCCTTATGGTGACTCAGGAGTCATCTTTTGAACAATCGTTTTCCCTTCTTGCAGCCACCTCCACATTTATTTTCAATGCGGACTTTCTAGATTCTACTTTAACAGGATTTGACAAAGTCATGATCAATGACAGTTGCCAGCTAGGGATGTTTGCCTTGCCTAAGGAGTATCAGTAGTTTGCTTTAGACCCAAATGTTTCTCATGGAATAAACGGGAACATTCACAGTCACAGTGACCTTTATTCAAGGAGGCAGAGGAAATGGAATCATGGCTGACTCAGGAAGCCTAAATTCCAATCTGGGTAGGCTTAGGCGAGTCATTTTGATTCAATGAGGTACATCACAGCAGCTTCTATTTACTTTACCAATGAGTATTAGGATGGATAGATTTGATTTGGTTTGGTTCGGTCTTATTGAGACAAGATTTCATACTGTAGCACTGGCAGACCTGGTACTCATGCAGCCCAGGCTGGCCTCTAATTCATAGTAATCCTCCCGCTTCAGCCTCCTCAATGCTGCTTAGATTTTTTTTTTTTTAAATCAAACAAACTTCTTGGAAAAGACATGCTTTTTATAAACAGAGATGCTTTAAAAAAGCAAACAAAAACAAAAACAAAAACAAAACAATGACTGTCTTAAGAGGACACTTTAAAAGTGAATTATAATTATAGGTTCCGGGAATGTGTCAGTGAGCTTTAGGATGAAAATTTGCTCCATACCTGCACATCTGAAACTCTGAGCAGTGAGTCCTCTCTCCAAAGACAAAGTTGTCAGGATGCTCAGGAAACTGGTGGTCACAGACTGACGCTTGTTCTTCCGGAGCTCATGGCCACCTATCTGATCCTTGGGTTTGTTCCTCAATGTGACTTGCAGATTTTGCTCAGAACTCCTCGCCACATTGGCTGCTGTCTTCAGAGCCTCCATCCATTCCTGAGCCCTCTGTCGGGTCTCAGCTCGGAGGCGGAGGACATCTTGAGGGAAAATGACTTGAAAGCAAGAGTCACAGCCATCCAGATTGTCTATCTGTACAGCCAGACAGACATCCACATTGTAGCTCAATAGGGGATCTTCGTCTAGCTTGCCAGGGTGAAAAGCCATAAGATAGGCCTTGCTCAACACAAATGTAAACGCCTTCCAGTTGTTTTGAACAGTAAGCCTGTACAGTGTCCCTGATTTGAGAATGTGTTCGTACTGTTTGGGGCTTTCCAATACAGGGGAGCAGGACAGCAGCCCATTGGATTTCTTCTGTAAAGAGACGTTCTGTGTACAGTCAACATGATGATGACCAAGCCCTGGTGAATTTGCCAGCTCATCCTGCCGTCCCAGATAGCCAGGCACAGTGGCATGCACGACTTCCCAGAGCTTCTGTCCCCAGTCCAAAGCCTCCCATGGGGACTCTGCCTTCAGTTGCAGCTGAGAGTTGTCATAGAGAACAGTATCTACCATCCTGGCCTCAAGATTGCTCAAAACAGATATACTCTGGAAGTGTGAAAGCTGGTACGTGGCATACAGGTTCTGGCTCCCGCTGCTGTCGAGGCTGTAGAGGTATAAGCTGTAAGGTGAGAGTTCTGCATAACAGCTTTGCCAGTAACTGTCGTGGTCCTTCCTAATCTCCAGGTAACCCTTCTTCAGAATGTTTGGGAATGTCTGCTTGAGTTCTAGAAAGAAAAAAGAAAAGCCAAAATATTTCTTAGTTATGAGAAGGCAGGTGCATGAAACCAGTCAGACGAGGGGCTGACCTCTTTCTGGTTCAAATTCAACAAAGCAGAAGTGGTAAACTTCCAGGGTGGAGCCAATAGGCCAGATGTAGCCAGGGGAATGTCTCACCACAAAAACTGAGCTACGGTGATGAACAAGTGCAAAAGTGTGGTGTGTACAATGCCAACATGTGACACGTGAAGGATGTGTGGAATACAGAAATGCTGGGAAATCTGTGACCAGGTATGCCCTGTGCATCTAATCACACTTTGCCAGGGTTCCTTCCTTTCTAGGTAAGTTCTGCAGTGTTCTAAAATACACAAGAAACAACACTCTTTTTATTACCTGAGCTAATTCCCACACGTAATCTCTCCTTTCCTAGGCTGGTGAAGTCAAGAGTGAATAGAAAGTGTGAAATGTGCTGCTTAGGAACCCCTGTTTCTCAGACATGCCCACCATCCCTCAAGTCAGTACCCAGGCCTTCTGTCCAGCAACCATCTCTAGCCTTGGCCCCACTAGATCACTTCTTATGTCTCAGCTCAAGTGGCAGCTTTCTCTTGGAGTCTGACTGTGCTTATGCTGTACCCTTGGCTTGCAAGGTTCCGTCCTACTGCTTCAGCCAGGAACCGCATCCTTAGCTTTCCTCCTGACTTTCCGCCCTTTCCCCTTGTATCATCTGTACGTAGATGTCCCTGGATATGTGTCAATGTCAGATATTCCTACTGTATGATTCCTCTATTGCAGGCTCTTATCAGACTATATTATAACATACTATTCAAATAGCCAAACAAAAATTTAAAGTTTGTTTTAAAATGCCTATCTTCTTTACTAGAGGGTAAGCTCTTTCTTCTTATTTATATCATAGCACACAGGACAATGCCTGATACAACAATAGGTGCCAACTAAGTATAATACCTACTAGGTGGGACTAGGTAAATGTCTGTAATCTCAGCACTTGGAAGACTAAGGCAGGAAGATCATAGAGATGATGAATTAGAGGCCAGCCTGTGCTACATAGCAAAAATGAAAAAAAAATTTTTTTGTTTTGGGTTTTGCTTGCCTTTTTGAGGCAGGGTCTCCCAGTAGCCCCAGCTGGCCTGGAAATCACTATGTAGACCAGGCTGGCCTCGAACTCACAGAGATCCACCTGCCTCTGCCTAAGTGCTGGGATTGAAGGAGTGCGCCACCACATCCGGCTGTTAAAGAATTTTTTAAAATGCTTGTTAAATTAGTAATAAAGCTCCTAGCACAATACCTGGTGCATGGTAGGTATGATTCTCTTCCCTTCCTCTTTCCTCCCAACTCCTAACATGCACAAGTTAATCTGGCCATGGCACCTTTAATCCAGGAGAACCTATACCAAATGCCATGTAGTACTTTAATAACGGGCCTGTCACTTCAGAGACTTCCTGAAACTTTGGTTTTTGAGGTATTATCTGGTTATATAGCCCAGGTTGGCCACAAACTGGAGAGCCTCCTGTTTCAGCATCCTGGATGCTCAGATTATGGGTATGTGCCTCCATGCCCAGTTTCCCTAGTCTTTTGTAAGACATGAAAAGACATCCAAGTATAAGAGTGGTCAGGAAGTAGTGACCTAGAAACTTTAACTCCTAAGATGTTTCCATTCTCTCTGCTGACATACACTGTAGACAGCCATGAGCTGAGTCATTCCTGAAGAAGAAAGATCACACCTGCATGGGGGTTGATTTCAATTTTTCAGAGAGAGAAAGAGACAGAGACAGAGACAGGAGAGAGAAATCATCTTAAAACAGCAAATCAAAAATGAAGGGAGAGAAATGAGGCGGAGAAAGGCCTATTTTACCTGCTTTACATCCTTGGTCCTAACATTCATTAGTATTTCTGTGGTAACTAAAAAGCTGTTAATTTCTTGCAACCCACACTAATCCCTTTGTCAAAAGAGATAATAGATGCCTACCTCAGGGCTTCTTTCTCTCCAGACAATGCAGGGAGGGAGGCAGTGCTGTTGGAGATATTGCTGTCGCCTCACCCTCTCATTTCCATCAGACACTGGGGACAGTGCAGCCTTCTCCACAGTGAGACTTAGGATCCTGTGTCTATGACTCCCATCCATCCTGTGACCCAGCAGCTCAGCTATGAGTCCTTGTGTAAAACAAAAACCACCTCTCTTGCTTTTAGACAGAAATTGCTACCTCCTCTCCTTACTTCCCTGAGAGCCTTTTACTACAGCCACCAAGAATTCCAAGTTCGACTTTGAGTGCCAGCCTAGCAGCACTGCTGACCAAGCTGTCACTTCTTTCTGAGGCATGAGCTTGGGCAGCAGACAGACAGGTCAGGTAGAAGGGATGAAAAGTCTTTCTAGGAAATCTCCAGGGTGCTAAAGCTGAAGGGTACCCCAATACTGTTTTCCCACTCAAGCAACTTTTCTTACCTTTGTTCCCCTATGTGGGTTTGAGCACTCAGGAGATTGAGGCAGAGGACTGCTGCGGCCATCCTGGGCTACAGTATAAAACCCTATCTCCACATAAACAATAAAAAAATCACAAAGGCAGCAAAGGTGATCAGGAAACCATTCTCAGGGGTGCCTGTTCCTCTGTGTGTGTGTGCGTGTGTGTGTGTGTGATCACGTTTTCTTATATTTTGTGCAGGAAGGATTCATATCTGTAATTATAGCAGGCTGGAGGTCTACCACTTCTAATTTCTAGCAAACATTACTTTCTATCAGATCTGAAGTTTGTTTTTAAACATTTTGCTATGACAACTCAGAAACTATATGCACAAATCTAAACTTTCATTATTTTGTCATAGTTGATGCTTTTCTTCCAGACTCTATCATTTTAACTCATTTAATTAATCCATTTATTTATTTATTTATTTATTTATTATTTTTGTCTTTTTGAGACAGGGTCTCCTTGTAGCCCCAACTGTCCTGGAACTCACTATGTAGACCA